TTCAGGATGCTCTTGCCGACCGCCAGCTTGTCCGGGCTGAAGGTGACGCGCACCAGGAACTCGAAGGTGAACCACAGCACGCAGACGCCCTCCACGTAGGTGAGCGCCGGGTCCGTCTCGATCTCGTACTGCTGGCTGAAGTCCGTGAAGGAGTCGTTGCGAAACGCCTCCGTCTTGTTGATGACCGTGTTGAAGGCCTCGTGCGTCTCCAGGCAGAAGGTCTTTTATAAATATAAATCATATAAAATATAGCTTTTAAATATTTAATTGCATATTTCAATATTTAATAATTATACATGTATATATGCATTGTTATAGATTAATTTTTTTAAATATTACAATTTTGTTATACTGTATGTAATATTGAAACCAGGCAAATTATACATAAAAAATATTAAACATTATATATATTTTAGATTATAAAAAATATATATACCAAAAAAATATAACAAGAGACTTTTTAAATATTTAATTTATTAATATATTTAAAAATGTACAAAATCATATTTATATATGCATTGTTATAGGTTTATGTTTATATAAGCAATTCTATAATATCTAATATTTTAATTATTTGAAATCAGACATATAAATACATAATATATTTCATTTATTTTGCATTATAAAATAGACAAAAAATATAGCCAGATTATAGCCAACAAATATTTTATATGTTGTATATGATAAAATATAGCCAGAAAATATAACCAAAATTTAGCCAAAAATATATTTTATTTGATAAAAAAAGAAAATATATCCAAAAAAATAATCAGAGATTTTTAAATATTAACAATTTTTTTTAAATATAAAAATTTGAATATTTATATATGCATTACGTTATAGGTTTGTTCATTTTTGTATATAAACAGTATTTATGTAATATGTTAATTATTTGAAATCAGACAAATTATACATTTTATATATTTGATTTCAAATCATTCCAATGTTACATATATAATAGAATAATATAATTTCTAGAATAGTTTATATAAAAATAAACAAATTATGTATATGTTTGTACACACACAGAACAGTATTTATTGACAAACACAAAAAGTCAAAAGAATTTCTATGAACAGTAGCATTTAACCTAAATATTATTTTTACATTCTTTTCCACAATTACTGTAATAAATATAAATAATTTTGTACACCACAACAAAAAACTAAAATGCATGGGGGAGTCAAATGAATCAGAGTCTTTTTTGAAGTGACTCATGAGAATGAGCCACGCAAACGAACAGATTCATTTTTGTGAATCGGTTCATTTGGACGCTTCTCATGAGAGAGAGGAAGGACTTTTATTTGTCTCAGATTTATTGCTTGGCTGTGCAATGTGACAAAACCAGCACTGCACTTTTACTCCAGCACTGTTATCATGATAATGCAATGCACACCAAAGCAAAACAGTCTTCCAGTATCTTGGCGGGTCACCGGCGTGCAATATTTAATGTCAATAAACGCTGTCAAATGAGTGAGTCAGACCTCCCAGCAGCTGTGTTCAGCCCACACAACCGCGCCGTCAACACTTCACCTTCACGTGCAAAGCATTATTCAGAAAACACATCAAAACAGACCCACGGGCCGTCACTCAAGCACACATAACACACTTCATATTAAACTCAATTACGCTAGTTACTGCACTCGTGGATCAACGGCAAGACATGGAACCCGTGCTCTGCAACCGCTAGAATATAGCTAGAAAAATCTATATTCTATATTTTATATATATATTCGAAATATTAATTATATATATATAAATTACTGAATAACATGTTTAAATATTTAAAATGTAGAATATTTATCTATGCTTTTTGTTTTTGATTTAAACAACTATTATAATACGTTAAATATTTGAAATCAGACAAATTCTACATATATTTTATATATGTTTGATTTCAAATAATTAAAATGTTACATATATAATAGAATTAATATATATATGTGTGTGTGTGCAAAAAAAACATCAAATTGTTTATGTAAAAAAACAAATGATATGCATGTATATGCACGAAACCGGTGATGTGCAACTGCTACAAGCGCTAGAATAACAGCTCAGTCAGAGTACTGCTAAAGGCAATAGCCAGCGCTGGTGAATGTGAAAAGACATGATCGCGGGACGGCCTGTCCCCTCTAGATAGCGTCTCAAAGGTGCCTGTCTCTCGTCTTTGTTTTAGCGTCCTAATGAGACACAAAGCCAGCACTAACGATCAGGACAATGAAAACAAGCTCTGAACGCACAGTGACAGGCGCGTGCGGGACGCGAGTAAGCAGTATCTAATGATCTTGTCATCCACCGCAGGGGTCAGGAGTCTCCCGTGAACAATGCTGCCGCTGCTGTGGGTAATGTGGGCTTTGGCTGTGAGATCAGATCCGCTCGAATCTCACTTTGTGTCCTGTGACTTCATTAACCACGCAAGCAGCCTGAAGCCCAGCGAATGCATTTCATTTGTACACTAACAGTACTTTGCTTGCTCTGCTTCCAAACCTAGTGAGCTGCTCACCTACAGGAGGCCACGTTTATGCACATGACAAATAAATGTATTTTTTTGTGATAACATTTCAAATAACATCTAATTATGAGCTAAAAAGTCACAAATACCCTTGTTACTTGACTTCCAAAACTTTCATTTCACCACAATAAATAAATAAATAAATTTTATTTGTAATGCATGCATGTAATTATAGGATATGCATACATATATTTCATTGAGGATTTTAGCCCAATTTATGTAAAAAAAAGGTGTTTTTTTGCACCATGCATATAATTTATTATAAACATTAAAAAAATTATTTATCAGAAATTGTAATTATTTCATTATCTAGTAACATACAAAATATGTATTAAAAATCATAATATTTATAAATGCATGATGGTATAGTTTTGAGATATATATATAGATATAGTGCTGTCAATCTATTAAAAAATATTAACTAATTAATCGCACATTTTCTGAAATGAATCGTGATTAGTTGCAATTAACATCAAAGTTTTTAAATATACAATAATGTCACATTCAATCTCCAAATGAATGTAGAAACAACATAAATCCAGTATATGTTTTAATATTTGTTCAACTGCATCTTTTTTTTTTATGACTGAAGGCGAGCATCACTGATACCAATACTACTGATGTTTCTATGAAATAGTTTTTTTTCCCTCCAATATTTAACCACTGACTATTGCCATTCAACATTACAGTATAATTGAGAGCTACTAATTTGAACATTTATTAGACTTTAAAAAAGAACAACTTTTAATTTAAGTGAACTAAAACAATCTTCACATAAACCCATTATAATAAATGTCATATTTAGCTACCCGTGCTCTTCAGCAAGCAGAAAATATACAGAAATAGAATAAAGTTATCAAACACTAAATTCTAATTTAAATATAGATGAATCCTTAAAGCTATAAAGTTATTGATTTCCTCTTTTTCTTTGTCACATGACAAAGCAACCAATGATGAGACAGAACTAATGAACAGGAGCCAATGAACAAACAGAACTGAAAACCACATGACAGGACAATGAACCAATGAGAACATGACACATACGGCAAAGGAACAACATGACATGATCCATAACTATATATATATAATGCATGCATGCACTGCACTATTATTGATCAATTCCTGATATATAATTTAATTCGATTTTTGACTGAAACATGACCCAGAACTTTCTTGACAGGCCTACTGAAAACCACATGACAGGACAATGAACCAATGAGAACATGACACATACGGCAAAGGAACAACATGACATGATCCATAACTATATATATAATGCATGCATGCACTGCACTATTATTGATCAATTCCTGATTTATAATTTAATTCGATTTTTGACTGAAACATGACCCAGAACTTTCTTGACAGGCCTGTGCTAAAACGAGGTTTATTTCATAAAATCAATATACAGTATGTGTCCTTTCACTGGCAAGACAATCCCAGAATGCACTGCAACGAGCTCTGTGAACATTTCCATCGAAGATGCCAGATAATACTTTGTTTACAAAGTAAAAAATACTTTGTTTAGTAGTTTAGCTGCTACACCATGAGCAGCATTTTATTTAATCAGTCACTCCTGAGGTTTTATTTGAGTTAAGATGCTGCATTAGAAGGTAACAGCCCATGCAGACGGCAGACAGAAATGCAGTTCACTACGCAAAAAACAAAAAGAAACAGCTGCCTAGAAGCAACACTATTTAGTTTACAAAAGACACCGTTGGACAGATTACAACACCTGGAAAATAAAATTATGATTTTGGATACGTCCCACATGACAGAAAAATCAGTTTGAAGGAGTTGAGCTCTTTGAAGAGCGGCTGTGATCAGTGTTGCTTTCTGTGGCCATCAGGAGGCTTTATACTCCTCCTGATGCAAGTCTGTGGGAAACGGATCAAACG